CCCCCCCCCCCCCCCACGTTTTTTTAAAAAAACTGGCACTGCAGCCCTCTGTGTCACTCACGTTACCTTCCTCATCCTGAAATTTATCATTCTGAGTTGAATTCGGGGGCAGGGGAAGGGAAGCAGCAAGGGGGAGCTTTGGGGATGACAGACAGGAAATCGAGGGCTTGGCCGTGGGAATGGGAAAGAGGAAACATTGATGAAGGCAGAATGGAGGTGCCGAAATGGTGGGTGGTGTTTTCTCCTCAGCTCGAGGGAGCTCCACCCCACCAACCTACGCTCCATGCTTAGGGCCCCCAAGCTCCTAAGAACGGCTCTGGCACTTATTCTGATCTTACTATTACTAGGCCAATATAATCACCATCTTTGTCTAGAACTTGCATCTTTGGAGTTTGTGACGATTTAGAAAGATACGAATAAATATGATTAATTGCTGCTGCTTGAAAAAAAAAATCAGGTAAACTTGTAAATTTAAAATTTAAAAAATACCAATTTCTTGTGATATATTTTCACAGTCTTTGTCACCATCTTACCTGAAGCACCTGCATCCAAGGCACCAGGAGTTTAAAAGTCTCCCCGAAACCGTTGCCATATTTTTGCATCATGATGTACGTGAACATCGTCATGACAACCATGGGTAGTGTCGTCACTATGTACGTCATCGAGATGGCCACCAGCATCAGCGTTGTTTTACTCCGCCGCCTTGCAGATCCTGGGGAGAAAAAAAAAATATTCAACAATAAATAAGCTTTAAATCAAATAATTTTATAATCCATTAAAATTAATATTTATGAATATCACCACGTTCCTCAAATTCATTTCATTTATCAATAAATTGATATTAATGAGGGTAAAACATATTTTTAAAATTACAAATTAAAAAACAAAAGGTAATATTTAAGTATAAAAACATTATTTAATTTACATAGCAATATAATATTCGTTGTTTAAGATCTGATGTAAACCAAGGTAGTGGTTTAGGAAAACTCTTGACATATCGGACAGAAGATTGCCGTGACAATGGCGATTGTAACGAACCCGTAAGGCGTGTAGACGAGGAGTCCTCATTCTGCGTGGCTTTCTCCACCTTAAAAATTTTCAAGAGGACGCCAACGTTGCTGACCAAGACCAGGATGACGGGGGCGATGAACAGGAAGGCGAACTGGTAGACGTAGACTTGTAGAGGCAGGTAGATGTTGTAGTAGGCCTCACTTCCGGCACATTCCATGCCATTACTTTCCGTGGTGACAAACCTGAGGAGTTGGTGTGGGGGGAGGGGGGGATTGCAAGGTTACGATGTCGTGACGAAAACACTTTGAAATAGTCATTACGGAGTCCATTAGCCAATGTTTGAATTCAAATAAACAAACGTGACACATTTCTTATTCGTGAAATACGCTGAGAGATGGGATGTCGGAATATTGGCGAGTGTGCTAACAGGAGGCGGATTTAAATATTTTGTATTCATAACTAGATTTAAAAAAAAAAAAAATTATTACGTTGAACTGACAAGCAACTTACTAAATTAATTGAACAAACCCTTAAAGCAAAGTTTTTCGCATAAATCCTTTATATGAAATGTTGTGCGACTTAGCGATGGCTAGAGTTCTTAAGAAGTAATTGCATCAAGAAAAAATTATTTCAAAGGGTTGGGGGTGATGGGCAGGGCCTTGAAATTTGAAAGAATGTGTTGTCATCGGCAACGAGTCTATGTGCCAAGTTTCATCTCGATACGATGAAGGGGAGTGGGTCAATTAGCCTTTCGAAGATTTCGAAAGAAAGAAACACGCCAACAAAAGCAAAGTTAATATGAAGGATTTGAAAAAAGGGACACGCGCAGAATTTATTTTCAGTTCTAAAAAATGCAGTACAACCAAGAATGACATCGACTAATTTAATGTTCATAAAGTAGATACAATAAGACGTCGATAATCTTGGCTAACTGCGTAAACATATAATAACGAGGGCTTAACCGGGGGGGGGGGGGGGGGGGGTTAGGAGGTGGTTTTTTTTACACCGTGTATTTTGCGGGTATTTTGAGGAAATATCCGGTGGGTCCAAGTGTTACCAAAAAAAAAACAACGAAATTCTCATTTTCTGTAATATATGCCGGCCTTTAAATAATAGACCTAGAGACAGTCCTACGGGTAATCCTATAGTCAGTCCTACACCAACCCGTGGCTCTTTATTGATTAATAGAATAGTCGCCTACGAAAAAAATTCAACCTTTTTACCCGAGTTCAACTGTAACGCATGACGGTCGCTGCTTGACAGTCTTTTTTTTTATTTTGTTTAAAAACTTAGTACTATTAATATAAAACATTTTGAGTAGAAGGTGGGCCAGTTGTGAAAGGAAGCCGCCACACCAGAAGCAAATAAATACAAGAGGTACTACGTGACTTGTCCATAGGTCATTTGTAAAGCGGTGACCTTGAACGGGGATTTAAAAGAAATGTTTCTTAGTCATGTCTAGATATCCCAATGCGTTTATTTTTAATCCCGTTGCTATTCTGCCTCTATGGGATTTTTTTTTCTTCTGATAAGGCCATCCAGGATTTCCATGGACCGTTTTTTTGAAGTCCGGATTATCGACGTTTTACTGAAATCAGATAAACTATTGATGTTAGGAAAACTGGCTGGGAACTTGTGAATTTTTGTTTAGAGGCCATTTATACCAAGCTTTTTACGTATTGCACGACGCCTGAAATACATTAAGTTCATTAATTAAAATGACTCAAGTACATGGATATGATATAATTACGGGCTAGCAAGTTCCCTCCTTCCAGGTCGTCAACCCCCCCAACTGCCTCACCTGAACACCTGGGTACAGGAGAAGACACAGAACAGGGAAATGATGATGATGACGGCACCACGCTGCTGACACCACATGTTCCGTCTGAAAGGCATGTACACGACGCAGAGTCTTTCAATGGCCATGGCTACTATCAGCCACGTCGACATGAGGTTACACACCGCGTCGGCGAACATAAAGATCTGTGGACGTAAACACGGAAAATGTAATGTAGCGGTTTGGGGAAAGTATTCAAATAATTGGTTGAGAAATAAATATTTTAAAAAATGTACGAGAGAAATCAATGATAAATAGTTTAAGCCGTTAAACTATTAAAAAATTGTAAAGCGATTAGGAGGCAAGAAACAAGATAAGGTGTAGACTATTTTTTCCAGCTAACATGGTTACCCAGAATGAAACCTATATTATCTTTCACGCATTTTCAAATGTAAATTGCTGATTTTACATGTAAATCGAGACAGGGTTAAGAGCAAATTATGTAAATCTGAAACTTTAACCCAGAAATTAAGCCTACCTCGCAGCTTGATTCAGCTTCCGTGAGCCTTCCTAGCAGATATCCCGTAATCTCTAGCCCAGATAATCAGCTTACCTTGCAGAAATCACGTAATCTCTAGCCCAGATAATCAGCTTACCTTGCAGCTGTCATGTGAAAACTTGCTAAAGAGACCCGGATGTTGCTTGTTTTCACTTAAAATGTCGTCAATGATGTGAATTTCTTGACCCACCAAAACCAGGCAAAAAAAAAAAAAAGACAAAATAAATTCTTTCAGATGCCGGACTATCTATTATTCCTTTCCTCTATATACCGCAGCACACAATTTGAAATGTCACCCCCCCCCCACACACACACACACACACACGCTCCCCCTCCCTAAAACCAAACAAGAAAATTAAAAAAAAAAAAATCAGTTCTGTTTGTTTTGTAGAAAATTTTCATTGCAACAACTTTGATGTAACTTGATATAATTGCTTGAATTTCAGATGCGAAACAGGTCAAGAAAAGTGAGAAATATATACTTTTATAAAATCAGTAAGAAAATGAGCTCTAAAATCACAGTATCAACCATTGTCGCTTGCTCTTGTACCAGGCAGAGAATTCTAATCAAAATCAGACATTGCTACCAGGGGAGACGCCTAACGTTAACTGTTAACTTTTCTACGGTGACAACATGTTTTTTCCCCTTCAAGAATACTTGGCGTATTTTTGGTAATTGCTTTCTTGCATAAGGAAAGATGCCATTATGGCGTGGTCTAGATTGTTAAAAAATGTCCGTTAACGACATAGTTCACGTTATTCAGCTAATAATGGATTTTCAAATGTTATGGTTAAAGCTCTGACCGCTTTGTCTCTGTTCTGTGATCAAAATTTTCAGAAACGCTGCCTGAATTTGATAGTATTCGTGCCTATTTATATCATCAGAACGAAATATCTACATTGAAATGACGCTTTAAAAAAAGGGGGGGGGGGGGGGAATGTGAAAGAGCCAGTTAAAGCTGTAGAAACAGATTTGATAGACACATTTCTTGTAAATCGAATGAATTTATTTGCTTTTACATGTTGCATATATATATTTGTCGAAATCCTCCCAGCTAGCTACACACGGCCCATTTCAAGGGACATAAATCTTAACAAAAACAAAAAGAACAAACAAAAAACAAACAAAAACAAACCAAAACAGAACATAGACAGAGTAGCATGTGTCGTTCGCCTGTCACTTTAATAATTCATGACATAAACAGTTTTGCACCCCCCCCCCCAAAAAAAAACAACAAACAAACAAACAAACAAACAAACAACCTTTTCCGATCTTATTTTAGATCCGCTGAGAACATTATGATTTATCAAATGTCCATTGAAATGCATAAGTTAATAAAATAAGTTCAACAATTTTCTTGTAACCCCTGCTCCGGCCCGGTCAACTGAAAGAGCCAGGTTGAAGGATATTCCCAAGTTTATCTATAATCTCCATATGTGACGGAGCAGAGACAAGATGAACGCCGGCGATGTCAGAGAGGAGGGCAATGCGACTCATACATATTTATGACATCCCCTTGACACATCAACGCACAGCCTAATAAAGGGATTGGGTGGGAACATTAAACGAACTTGAGGGGGGGGGGGGGGAATTTGAACGACCTTGGCCGTTACCAAGTTTTATTTTCAAAAGATATTTGGGAAATTATGTGAAATTGTTTTGTGAATAATTCATTTCTATTTTTTTTAAATCATCAAAACAAACCTTTAAAGGGATTTGCAAACAACAACAAAAAATAAAAAAAATAAAAATAAAAAAAATAATAATAATACAAGTTATTGATGGGACAAGACCAATTAAGAATATTTGAACAAATTATCAATTGTTTGATCAGATTCCTGTGTCAATGCAACAAGGTGCGCAGTAACTGAATAATTCTGAATGGTTTTAGAATTTAAAAAATAATATTTTAATATTAAAAGTGCTGTCTCTTTCTATTCGATTTTCTGTAAATAATAATATTATTCATAATGATAACAATATTTTAATTTGACCAGTAAAATTTATTTCTCTCATTTTCACCTTCCCATATGCCATTTAACTTACCTATCTAACTCAAGAGCTTTACGAATTTCTCTAATTTTCACCTCCCCATATCAGTTATCGACCAAACCAAAAATTAAATTAAAAAAAAAAAAAAGATGGTTACCATTTAAAACACAAACAACAAGCAACCATCTTAATTTAATAAAATAAATGGCTACTTTGAGACATTAACGCAAACCAAATTTCGGGGTGTATTAATAAAGTAAATAGCTGCGTATGTTCCATTGAAAATGAAATAAGATGTGTGTCCATGTTTGACACATGCACAAAAATGTCAATGTTCCTATTCTCTCCCCCTTGTTGCATAAAGCATATGTTATCGGAGTAAATTTTGTGTATGTACAAATGAACTGCATCCACATTTTTTTTTACGCCTCTAAAAATGCTGTTAAAAAGGGGTCAGGGAGAGTGGGAATGGGGTCAAGGATGTATATTCCTTTCAAGTTCGAAAATAAAGATTTGGACGCTTATTAATTATGAATTTTTAAGTTAGAGCATCGACAAAAAGTATCTTTTAAAAAAATTATATGATTTTTAAAAAAAAACTTTATCGAAGACGATGATGAACTAAATTAGACTCGCGACTGTTGGTACACCGTCGTAGACAGGTTAGTGGTTCCCCAGCCGCTAAGCTGTGTGCCCCGCTACGACTCGCTGAATTTAACGTGGGCGAGCCTTTTTCGAGACACCTTCCCCCCCCCCCCGGCCCCCCCCTCCAGCCGTGTATTGCCTTTGTCAAGTCAGAATTGTAAGCATGGTGTATTTTCCATTCTATATTTCTCCATTGTCTTCAGTCAGACTTAAAGGATCATCCCTATAATATTCTCGTTTTAATTTTTCAACTTCTAATGGGCACCGCGGCGTCTCAGTTGTATTTTGTTATGTTGTGACTATGGGGGGGGTGGGGGGCGGTGGGCGTTGCAAATTGAGCCATAGGCGTTTCTATTTAAGCTTAATTTGACTTGGAGCTAAAAAAAATGACGTTAAAAAAAAAGTTATTGCTCTAGTCAATTTCTAAAGGAAAAGGAAATGAATAAAACCAGCTGATTAAACTACAAATAATTATAAAGATATTTTAAATGATAACCCAATTTGAAGAAAAAGCCAAAAATCTGCATGTAAATAATTTAATTATAATTTTATAAATTACATTTTAAATAAATAAAAAGTATTATTGAAAATGGGGGGGAAAAAAAGGCAGGCTTAAACACTTCAAACGCTTGCTCTGAACAACCTGTATTAGTTAAGTTCTCTATCTGAACAACCCTATATTAGTTAAGTTCTCTATCTGAACAACCCTATATTAGTTAAGTTCTCTATCTGAACTACCCTGTATTAGTTAAGTTCTCTATCTGAACAACCCTGTATTAGTTAAGTTGTCTATCTGAACAACCCTGTATTAGTTAAGTTTTCTATCTGAACTACCCTGTATTAAGTTCTCTATCTGAACAACCCTGTATTAGTTAAGTTCTCTATCTGAACAACCCTGTATTAGTTAAGTTCTCTATCTGAACTACCCTGTATTAGTTAAGTCCTCTATCTGAACAGCCCTGTTATCAGCTAAGTTCTCTGGTCTAAAATTTACCCATTCATTGTCGAAGTAATGTCAACGGAACCTAGACACAGCAAAAAGCCATATTGACATGCTGTTCTGTACTCCAAATTTCATTTTTTTTTTGTTTTGTTTCTTCCTTATCACAAAAATAATGAAGAGAATAAACCTCGGCCCTGTGCACCCCCCCCCCCCCCCCCCCCCCCCCCCCCGCCCCCCCCACCCATAAACAAAAAAAAAAAAAAATAACCTAGACACAGCAAAAAGCCATATTGACATGCTGTTCTGTCCTCCAAATTTCATTTTTTTTTTGTTTTGTTTCTTCCTTATCACAAAAATAATGAAGAGAATAAACCTCGGCCCTGTGCACCCCCCCCCCCCACCCACTCCCCGATGTCGTTAAGAGCAAAGTTTAAAAAAATAAAAATGAAAACTCGCCAAGGGCAAGTGCCTACACTTGTGTTTGCTGTCAATACTGTAACTAGCCAAGGGCAAGTGCCTACACTTGTGTTTGCTGTCAATACTGTAACGCAGAGACGAGCGATTAATGTGTATCTGTAAGCACAAGCAGAGTTCACCATGACTGGCTCTTCCCATAAACCAAGAGGAAGGGGGCAAAAAAAAAATTAAAAAAATCATCGCGTGGGGGCCTTATATCATTGTGATTTTAACTTGTCTTGTACCAAGCGGTCGAGGAGCCGACGAGTGCTTTTACGGTTTGAAAGAAATGAGGTTTAACGAGAGAGATCAATTACAAAACTTGAACATCGATGGATATTGTTACCGAAAACGGCTGAAAACGCATTTAAATAGATCGATTTTAAGACATCAAATGCGCTAGAGGCATTTTTTTGAAGGGGGCACGTTTCCATTTGTTGCCATTAGCTAAGTAAATATGAAGGGTATTCTATAGTTGTCATGAGCGGGAAATGTCAGCTTGACAAGACGACGTAATTGATTGCCTGCGTCAATCCGAGAAAACAGAAACACTGGGTTACAGACGTCTACATGTCATAATGTCTCGTGAATTGTTTCTGTTCTCGTAGCTCTAACCCAAGTCTCTTCATGTCAACACCGTTCGCAGGGTCAAGGAAACAATGGGAAAACCCGTGGGAATCTCCAAGATATAAATAGATTGCTACATAAAATATATTTAAAAAAAAAAATTACATTTTGATAAAGCCTCTTGAATGTTCTCAGAATAGCGACAGCGAACCACCAATCACTCCAGACACAAACCTCTTTTGTTTAACAATGTTTCAAACTTATCAAACCATTCGGATTTCATGGCAAGCTTCTCACAAAGTAATCGAACTCAGCCCCCCCCCCCCCCCCCCCCCCCCCCCCCCCAATGAAAAAAATCGTTGGGTGGTTCGCCCCGTCGCATCAACAGTGCCGAAGTGGAGAAGGGAGCTAATCTAGGCAATAGCTCTTAAAGACCGACAGGTCAAGGAGGAGTGAGTTACCCCGACTGTTGGTTTAATATGCCGGGTAAGAGTACGCTTTTGGGTGACTCAGTGCAACCCACTCCTGGTTAAACTCTGCTGGGTGGCAACGGTGCACGTCGTCATTACAGTTGAGCTTGATTGTTTTACAATTAGCTTTCCTAGAG